CACAGAACCCAGCCTGCAGCCACCTGGAGCTGAATCCCCATTTCTGGTTCTCCCTGATGCCCAGAATGACAGGCTGGACCACCGGCAGGTGCAATGAGCAGTGCCTTCCCAAGGGAACTCTAGGCAGGGGCCACGCAGTGCTGCCCGCCTGCCCCTCCTGCTCACTCTCCTGTGTGCATGGCCTGAGCAGGCCCATCCCTGGTTTGGAGGCTCAGGGCACCCTGACAGGGACTCTTGCCAGGCTGGCCTGTGTGCTCAGTGGATGGCAAGAACTTGTCTGTCTGATGAGTCCCCAAGCTTCACCCAAGCTTGGGCCTGAATAGAAACATTATCACAATTTAATTATCTTTCACAAATGCAGCCTGAGAAGCCCCACTCCTTGGCCAGAATGCCAACTTCAAATGAAGCCAGGAGTAAGCGGAAGCTGTGTTCCCCAGGGGTGAGGGAACAACCCGAGGGGCTGCACACCCTTTAATGAAGTTTCCAAGTGACCCATGGACCTGGCCCGCGTGGGGACTGAGCAGGGGCTTCCCCAGCCCTGGACAGCAAGCTCCAGAGCCAGGCGGGCACACGGGTTTTGTTTAGAATGCCCTGAGAGTGGTTTTTTTTCCTCTCTTTTTTTTTCTTCTTCTTCTTCTTTTTTTTTTTTTTTAATAAAATGGGTGATAAAGGGTCCTGCCAGGAACAATTGTCTTCCAAAGTCTAAAGTGTTTGAAATTAATTTATCCGCTTAGGATGGTGTATAAATTTCTCATTACGAGTGTCAGTGATGAAGAAGAAACCATTCCAAGAAATGTCTCGAGCCCTTGCCAAGCCCCGGGCCCTGGGTCCCTCGCAGAGCCGGTGCCCGCGACAAAGGGCTTCACACAGTCAGGAGTGTTAACTATGCATGCTTTCGCGTTGCCCAGGCTCAGCCAAATGCCCTGTGAGAATGACACGTCCACACCCGGTTTTATTATTCCACACAGATGCCGGCTTGTTGTGTGTTTCCAGCTTTCGGAGCATAATGTGGAGTGCCAGGAGGTTTTGTTGTTGTTGTTAGACATGTGCTTTTTACTTTACCCCTCCCTCACCCCTTCTTTTGGTGACCCATCCCTGTTCAGCCCCCAAAAGGCTGGGGCAAGGGGAAGTGGGGAACAGGACCAGAAGATTCTTGGAAAGACTAGGGCTAGGGTGGGGGAGGGGAGTAAATGAACTGAGTCTGTTTGAGGTGTGTGTGTGTTGGGGAGGTGCTGTTGAAAGCAAAGAGAGGAAGGGGAAGAGGAGGGGGAGGGTTAGCCCTGGGAAAAAATGGCACCCCCAGCCTTCACTGGGCTCAACTGCCAGCTACCAGGGGCGGGTGGCAGGCAGAGAGAGCCCTGCTTCTGCTGCCCTGGAGTCCCAGGCCCTGACCCCACCTCCCAGGCTGTGCGAAGGGGCCTCAGCTTTGGAGAGAGGGGCTCCCAGGGTCTTCCTGCCACGTGACACCCTCTAATTCCTAAATGTAAATGGAAACCCAAGACTACAAGGGTTGAACAAGTGACAGGGTTGGGACTCAACTCCAAGCCCCGGATGGTGCTGCTTGCTCAGTCTCTTCTCTGCCCTCCTGGCCTGGGAGTCTGGGCAGCAACCTTCCAATGTTAGTATACGTGCTGCCGAAGCGAGCACTGGGCAGCAAGCTTTCTCTGCTCCAAAACCCTCCCTGTAGCTCCAGGGGGAATCTGTGCCCCTCACCTGCTCCGATCTGCCCTGTCTGTGAGTTCATGCCCTGTGCTTGTAGCTCAGGATCCCCAGGCAGGTCTCCTGCTAAGACAGCAAGGCCCAGAGGGAAACAGGGAGGCAGTTCCCAGGAGTTTGGCTCTGCCCCTGAGTCCTATGTGTGGCTCAGCAGAGGGTGGCTTTTCCAGGGATTACCAGGGTGGAGACAGATTTGAGACCTTAAAGGGAATGTATGAGGATTAGCCTGGGATCAAGGAGACCTCATCTGAGTCATGTATTCGTCATCATCTTCTAGTATGACCCAAGTGTAGTCCTGCCCCTCTGACCCTTGGTGTTCTCCTCTGAACAAGAAGGGCTGGGTCCAGGCATCACCATGCAGCCATCAGCTCTGGTCTTCTGGATAAGGAATAGAGGCCTTCTGGCTACAGACATTGTCATTGCTGAGTGCAGGCTCCACTGCTCAGGCCAGCTGAGGTGACCCCTGGAGGGCCCAGGCTGGGAAGGAGTCCTTTTTGCAGTGTGGCTTGCAGTAACATCACAGCCCCTGAGATACACCTAGTCTCTTTCTGGACATAGAACCCTCTTCCTCAGGGGTCCTGGCTGGAAGGCTGGACATGCTCAGACCCAGAGGCCACTTTGCAGAACAGCCAGTCTCGGTTGGCACAGTCATGCCCGGCCTCTCTGCCCAGCCGCCAAGGGCAGGGCCTCTCCAGAGTGGCTGATTGGGATGCCTGGCAAGTCACTGGCCCTGGGCAGTAGGCCAGCCTGCAGCCCCTGTGGAGGTGGCCTCATTAAAGGACTCATGGTCCAGTGGGCAGGGCATCAGACTGGACATCTGGAGGCTGGGGCCGGGTCCAGCTTGCTGCTGCTTTGCTGGGTGACCTTAAGCAGATTACTTGGCCTCTCAGTGCCCCACCTGCCCCCTGCCTCCTCCCTGTCTGGCAAGGCTTTCTGGAGGGAATATTAATGGGATGGCTCAGTCTTAGCCATCCCAGCATGCTGGAGTGGGCAGGGTCACATAGGAAGCCATTCTCCTGAAACCCTTTCTCCAGGATACTCACCTAGCAACACTTCCTGAGGTTGCTACAGGCCTGGTCTGAGGCTCAGTGTTGTGCAGTGTCCCTGGGAGGAAGCTGCAACATCTCAGAGCAGGGAGGGCTGTTAAAAAGCTTCTGGGAAATTCTTTCTCTCCAAATGAAGAAACAGGGGCCAGGACACACAGCCAGGTGGTGGCATTGCTGGGCTGGGAACCTGAACATCCATCCTCCAGGCCCTTCTACTTCTCTCCTGAGTCATTCACTCCAGCTTCCCTTTCCAGACATGACCCACAGGGTGATGCCTTGCCAGATGTGTCCAAGCCTATCCATCTCTGGGATGGTGGCTTCCTGTCTCCTAAGTGATCGATACCTCTGCCAGCATCCCAGCCCCTCTTCTCTGCACCTGCTCTGTTGCCTTCTGCTCACCTTGCATAGCCCAGGCTCCAGAATCACCAAGGTGTCATGGAAACCCACTCTGGCCCATCCCCATGCTACCACCTGGAGCGCTCATCTCAGTTTGTCTCCCGGGTGAACTGATCACCCTTTGTGACTGCATCTGGATCTTCTGTGTAATGCTTGCTCTAAGCTGCCCCCAGGGACATGACTGGGTCCCTCTTCTTCAGTCCTGCAGCATCCTGGCCCAGTCCCTCCAGAATGCCGTCCCACCCAGGCCATGAGGGCTCACAGGGGAGGGTCTCATTGAAGGGAGAGTGTCCTTGGGGGTGTGCCCTTGGAAACTATATCTCATCTCTGGTTCTCCCTGGTTTACTTCCCAGTTGCCATGAAGTGAACTGCTATGGACTGATGCAATCTCTGATGCGGTGAACCAAAATAAACTCTTCTTCCTTCAAGCTGTTTTGCTCTAGTATTTTGTCGTGGTAAGAGAAAGCTGACTAACAGAACCCAGCACAGGTGTAATGAGATCATTTCTATCTCCTCTGCTCCACCGAAGGCCCTGTAGACGCAAGTACCCCATGTTTATCTCTGTCATAGCTGCTGCCATAGCTGCAGAGCCTGGCAGAAAGAAGGTGCAGTTGGTGATGGGAAGAATGAAGGCCCTCACACACAGATCAAGAGAGATCACAGATGTGTTGCCAAGCTTCCAGTCAGAGTGAGAACGGGGAGTGTTGACTACATGGCTGGCCCCCACTGGACTGCAGAGGATGCAGAGAAACCACCAGGCCTGATTCACCTGTCTATGTCCACTTCCTTTTGGGTAGAGAAGGTGCAGCTTTCAGCCCCCAGGCTCTGTGTTGGTTAAGAGTAGGGATGGCCTCATCTTCCTGGGCCTCTCTCAGCTTTTTAACCCCCTTCCCCTTCCAGCCTGGAAACTCATGCTGTGTCTTGGTCATGTCCTTGTGGGCAGAGGCCCTGTCTCTGAGATCAACCTTATTTCCCTTTGTTGGGCTTGTTTCAACTGTTTTCTTGTGGCTCTTTGCTTCCCCAGCATGCTCAGTGCCTACAACCTGACTCTGGAGGCTCTGCCTTAAATGCAGGATAGGGCAGTGGGATGAGGGGTTTCTTGAGTTTCCAGACTGAATAGCCTCCTAGGTACTTCAGGCTGATTGCATAACACAGACTCAGCCCCTAAACCATCAGAAGAGGGAACAAATAGCTCACTTCACAGACTTGTGGTAGTCTAAGGGAATGACCAGCCACACCACCATGGAGCCTGATACATAGCTGGTACTTAATAAATGGTGGTCCTTCCATTCTTTTGAGCACCCTGATAATCTAGGCAGGACAGGGTAGGCATTATGTTCTCAGGTACAGGGGTCAAACCATCCATCCACAGTCTCCCAGCCACGGGTGACAGGGGCACCCTGACTCTCAGCAGTATGTTCTTTCCAGGACTCTACACTTTGTGGACAGGAGCCACTGAGGATGCTGAGGATCAGCAGGGTCTCTTTGGGTCCCAGGAGTGTTGCAGTGTGGTGGCACTGCTAAACAGAAGCACTCCTTTGGAGATGCCAAGATCACCAGTGTCAGCATGAGGACTGACCTGGCTCCCTTGACCTGCACCACCTGAGCACAAGGCCATGCTGACCCTGGAGAGTTCCCCAGAAAGTTCAGCTTCCCCACTCCATTCCCGGGCACCACCACGGGCACATCAAGTCATGGCACGTTCACCCTATTTGCCAATCTGTTGACTGTGCCCCCTCTGGCCTTCAAGCCCTATTCACTGGGCAGTAAACATGTTACCTAGCAACTGAGTGTCAATATCAACAAAGGCTCAGATGAAGTTGTTAATCTGGGCAAGACTGACAGCGGGGCCAATGTGCTCGTGTGCCGCTCCTCCGCGCATTGTCTGACACTTAGACTTGCCCACAAGGATATCGATGCTCAAAAGACCCCACATCTCCTTCCACTATAAAAATTAAATGAAGTGTGTATTGCAGGCAGGGAAAAGGCCCCAGAATTGGCCCTCCTGGGGATCATGCATGTCTTTTTTCTTTTCTCCCTCCAGTGCTGGAGCCTGTGGGGTGAAGTGCTTTCCCTGGATGCAGCGGCCGCTGCTAATTTCCCGGAACAATGTGGGCCACTCCAGGGCCAGTCCTGGGCACCCGAGGAGACACGCCTATCACTTCTTCTGTTTTGGGAACCTCAGGTGAGCTAAGGAGGGCACAGCTGGTTCTGGGACTCAGCTCTGTGCCAGATGAGGCAGCAGATGGACACTATGGATCGAGCTGACCACGTGGCAGGTACTTCGTGGTGGGGGCTGGGCCTTGCCCCCTGGAGCTCAGATTGCAGTGGAGACAGGCAATCAATGACTAAAGAAATGTGTTCAGAATCTAATGCTATGCAGATGTCTGCAGGCAGGGTGTTGCAAGACAAGGGGACAGCAAACACAAAGTCCTGAGGATGGGTAGAGCATATTTTGTATCTTTCAAGAGCAGCAGAAAGGCTAAGGCTTTTGAGATGAAGCATGAGATGGGGGTAAGGAGGAGGAAGTTTGAAGGGACTTGTAGCCAGATCACATAGGGCCACCAGGCTGTGGCCAGGATTCCTCAGAAGTTTGCTGTAAGGGGAGTGGCAAACCAGTGTGAGGCTTCTTTGGGAGGGACTGGGTCTGATTTCACAGTGGTGGCTGCCAGAAGAAGAGAAGGCAGGTGGGGCGGGGGGTTTAACTCAGTGGTTCTGCTGCCTGCCTCTCAAGCGCAAGGACCCTAGTTCGATCCTCGGTACCAAAAACAAAAAGACAGAAGAAAAGGCAGGAGCCTGGGTAGGGCAGGAGAACCAGTAAGGGGACCCCAGCATAGGCAGGGCAGGAGGAACTGTATGGTGGGAGTTGAGTCACATCCTCAGGAGGCCCCATCTTGCCACTGTTGTAGGAGCAGTGTGGGTATGAGAGGGAAGCTGGCCTGGGTGGAGCTGTGGGGTAAGAGCTCAGAGTCAAGGGTCCAAGGCTGGGCTTCAGGCCTCTGCTCTCTTAGGAGAACATCTCCCCTCTCAGGGCCTTGGTTCCTTCTCTGTATCCAGTCTCCTCTTGTCCCTGTCTACCCTTCAACAACACTGGAGAAGCATGAGATGGGAAGATCATGGAGTTGGAGTCAGGCAGAACAGGGTGAATCCACTGGAGTATAGTGCCACCCCATCCAACCACCTTCCAAACACAGGAGACTTCCGGGACATTGTGGATCAAAACCATCACAGGCAGCCACCCATTCAATGTTTGATTATTTGCTCAGCATTTTCTTCTATCATCAGGCACAGGGATGAGTAAGGCTCAGATGTTCTCTATGGGGAAGAAGAAAGGCTCACCAAGGGCAATCACAGGCAGGATAGGTCATCCCCTTAGGAAGGCCTGCTACCTCCCCAGCTGCTACCTGGGGAGCAGGTAGTCCAGCAAAAGTAAGGGATCTTTCAGGGAGCTTCAAGGTGGTGCAGAAGGAACTGCCAAGGGTCCTGGGTTCTGGGAGGCTCTGCCCTGTGTGGTGAGCGACCCCAGGCATGTCTACTTTCCTCATGGTCTTGATTTCCCCACCTGGAAAACCTTGGACTAAATGGCCCCTACCTTTCCCTCCAGCCCTTGGCCTGCAGGGGCAAAATCCTCTGCCGAGGCTCTGAGGAGAGCAGCCGGGGATCCTGGTGGCCTTATTTCAGCCTCCTAATATGGGCCACATTTCAGCGCGACCTTCTAGAGCATCTCCCACAAGTCAGATTCCAGGAGCCCGAGGAACTCTAGGGATGACATTGGCCACCTGATGGCGTATTAACCGGCCACAATTTTTAACTCTCAACCCTTTCTGGTTCTTGCTAATCTCCATCTGAAACAATGAGACAGCAGCTTCAGGATGGTGTCTTGAGAAGGCAAAGATGTTGAAGGAGAGTTTATAGTATCACCTTGCTGTGGCTGTGTTTAATTATGCTACCTTCTCCTATGACAAGTGCCACTGGTTTCCTGTATATGGCAGGAATGTAAAGTTCCTATTTATTTATTTATTTATTTATTTATTTTTGGTACCAGGAATCAAACGCAAGTCCTTGTGCTTTCGAGGCAGGCAGCAGAACCACTGAGCTAAATACCCGGCCCAAGTTCCTTCTTAAATGCATTCATAGAATAAGATAGGTCAATGTTTAGGGGAAAATATTGTATGGAAACATGAAATTAACAATATCTGACTACTTCTGATCTATAAAAATGGCAAATTTTGTGTGGTCCAACTTTATAGGAAGTAGAATTCACTAAGGAATTACTATGGCCAGCATTGCTCCAAGTGCTTTTAGAGGTGTAAATTTTTTTTTTTTTTTTTTGGTACTGGGGATCAAACTCAGGACCTTCTGCTTGCAAGGTAGGCAGTGGAACCACTGAGCTAAATCCCCGGCAAGAGGTGTATCTTATTTAATCACAGAGTAAGTAGAATGGAGGAATTGCTGTATAACATAGTTCCTATCAATTATGGACCACATATTAGTCCGTGGTCAGCAGCAGCATCAGCAACCATGTTTACTGTGTCTCTAGATTACACCATTTTCTCTCTGCTTGGTTTAGGTTCATGTTCTGTTCACGGTGACCTCTCAGCATAGGAATCCTCTGCTCATGTTGCCAAGAAGGGGCCATGTGAAGTGACTGACCCAGAATAGAAATTCAAAGTAATTAGACTATAAAGGTAGAAAATCAGTGCTGCTTCTTTCTCACCAGTCAGGTAAGTCCCATACCACGACAGCTCCAATTTTAGAGAACAAGAACAAAGGAATAGAAGCTGTTAAAGGATCTGCTTCATCAAAGGGAATGAAACTAATAAAAATTCAAGAAGAGCCTGGACCAGAGATGGAAAAACTTCTAATGACTGGAACTGAAGACCAGACACAGAAGTGATCCCTCTCAATGCATGTTGACCACAGTCAAAGCAAAAAGTTTGCAAAATGAAAAGGAAAGGCTGGACCCAAGCATCACATTGAACTTATTGCTAGATCTGGATGATACGAGCAATTGAAGAATCACTGCTTAACACATACCTGAAAGTGGATGGGTGGATGGGGTCTCTGAGCACTGCCTCTCTCTCCCTGGGCCTGGCTCAGAGTGGCTGGGGTAGGTGAAGCCGAAGTGTTCCATGCAGTGGACAGACTCGATGTCTGGGAGTTCCCAATTGGCCATAGCAGTGGCAGGTCTTGGGTCTCAACAAATAAATGTAATTTGGGGTTCAAGATGCCAGAGAAGGTGGAAACTAGGAGGCTATGATGGCCAAGTTGGCAATCGTGCACTGGTTTGGCTCCCAAGTCAAACAGAAGCTTTTCCTCTTCATGTGGGTTATATCCCCTCCCAAACGGGTGGCAGGAAGGTGACCAGCAGGCAAAACCATGGGAAAACATCAATAGAAAAGTTTAAGCCGGAGCCCCTCACAGCATGATTTAGAGCAGAGGCCAAGCCAGGAAAGGAATGAGGAAATTGTAAGCCCAGGGATCTTGGGCACGGGCACGGTTCAGACTGCGTTGGTCCCAGCAACCGAAAGAGGAAGGGAAGCAGGAGAAAGATCTGTTCTCATCCATGAAATGGGAGTGACATTACTGGGTTTCCCATGACCAGGAGGAGCTGTGTGCCCTGAAGGAGCTCTTCTCCATCCTGCCCCTGGCCTGGCATGCAGCAGGCTGCTGCCCATGGCTGAAGGGAGGCAGATGGACTTGGGAGGGTGAAGCATGAGGAAGATGTCTCAGGGCCCCAGGGTGCAGAAAGACCCACCTGGCCAGCTCTGGGCTGCCAGCCCCACCCAGAGGGGCCAAAGATGGAGGGAGGACAGGCTGGGCCACACCAGGTCCCCACTGAGCCTCAAGGACAATAAGCAGGGCTGGACCGGCAGGCACTGTCCCTGGTTAAGTCTCAGACAGGAAAAGCAAGAAAGATAAGAGGGGGCAGGAAGAGTGTGTTGGCTGGACAGAGGGAGAGTTCGGGTGCCAGGATGGGGATCCCTGAAGATGGGGGAGGTGGCGGGATGGGGGGGCAGTGGGAAAACTGCACTAAAAATGCCCATTATCCTAATTCAGCCATCTGGATGTCACTCCCTCTTCCCATCACCCTTCATGACCAGCTTGGGCTTGGGGAAAGGGATGCTGCGAAGGCCCAGGGCTCCACTCCAGCCTTGCCCTCTCCCTGTGTGAACAAAGCCAAGTAGAGAAGGGATGTGGAGGCCTTGGTCCATTCAGGTGCTAGCACCCACCAGAGGACCAGGCTGTCCCTCTGTGCCGTGCCCAGGACAAGCCCAGCCCCTGCAAGGCCCCAGTTGCACCCCCACTATCACCCACCTTAGCCTCAGGCTGAGGATTCCCCAGAGTGGAGCGCATGCCAAATTGTGTTTACTCTGGCCAGGCCCCATCCTGAGCCCTATCGGCCAGGGGTCAAATGCACTCCGGGAACCAATGTCACTCAGGCCTGGGCCCCTTCTTGGTGGCTGCAGGAGCCATCATCTCTGCCCTCTGCCCTGGCTGCCTCTGGTCCACCTCCTCTGACCTCTTCTCTCTTTCCAGGCTGGCTACAGGGTTGACTATCCGCTAGTTATCTCCCTAGACAGATGATGATTAAATATATCATATATCACTCACCCCACCCCAACAAGTTTCAGCCTGTGACTGAATTTTAATCTAGTTGTGTGACTCTTCAGTGCTGAACTTCACTCGTATAGACAATGGCCTCAGTCCCAACTGAGGAGGGCACTCTTTTCTGTGGCCTCCTTACTGAGAGGGAAAACTTGCAAAACCCAAGCAAGACCAGTGGATTAGTTGCCTGGTTTGTAGCCAGCTGATATCGTGGTTTTGGTGATCAATCTAGGGGTGTGTAAGACATTCACATCAGAAGAAGCTGGATAGAAAGATACACAGGGTCTTTCTGGACTATTTTTGAAACATTTTTTCCAGTCTGAAATTATTTTAATATGAAAAGTTCTAAAATGGAATGAATGATACTCTCTATCTTATAGGTTATAGGGAGAATATGAAAGTAAGCAGATGTAAATAAAGCCAGTTACCAACAGTTGTAGGGCCACACAGGTGTCTGCTGTTATTACTGTTGTCTTACAGACTCAAACCTGTGGCCTGGCCCAGCAGCCCTGGGCCCATGGAGGCACAAGGTCAGCCCTTCCCTTGAAAGAGGCAGCCACTTCTCTGTCTCCTGAGCACACACAACTAGAGAGCAGCCCTGGGTTCCCAGTGCTGTGCCAAGCATTGGGATAAGGTGGGGGAGGGAGCCCAGCCTTGCCCCTCCCCACTCCTGCCAGCAGGCAGGGCAGATGTTAAAAGGTTCCCCCACAAACCAGCATGAAGGTACACAGAAAGGGAGGTTGGCAGGGAAGGTCCTCACTGCTTCTTCCCTGGAGTTGGGAGCAACTCTGATCTGTCATGTGAAGAGTGGCAGAGAATTAGGCTGAAAGATGGAGGAGTGAGTGCCCAAACAGGACAGCACCAAGGCAGAAAGAGCCAGAGCCCGGAAAGGGCTGACGATGACCAGAACAGTCTCTGAGAATGAGGAGCTGGACGGTCAGGGACTTTTCACAACATCTAGGAGCAGAGATAGGGCCTCCTCATTGATTCTCAGCCCTTTGCAGCCATCACAGTATGGGATGATGCCATCTTCCCAAATCAGCTGAATTTGAACTGGAAAGGTAATCCAGTCTTGCAAATACCTATGTAATAAATGGATTTTGCACCCAGCCTTAGGACTTTTTTAAATGAAGAAACATTGAGTAGGTTTTAGTTCTGTTGATCTTAAGCTCAGAGTCAATCTGCCAGCTTGAAGAAGGAAACATACCCAATGCTCTGCAGTGAAAAGCCACGTATTTCCTGAGAACCACTCACAGAGCCTTCTCTGTGAGAACTGAGAAGGATTCCCCACACAGTTCGTGTATCTTGGCACCTAGTCTGAGGGGTGGGACGCACAGCAGGTGCCTTGGACCAATTTAACAGGTGGGGCTGTGGAAGCTGAGCACCAAAGCAGTCCAGAGGGGTCTTCATGCCAGGCTAGAGGAAGCCCAAGGGAGGGAGGGGACCGGGCCTCTGAGCTCTTCATGGGGGAGAGGAGAAGAGGAAGGAGAACCAAGTCAGTGGTCACAGTGCCGGCCAGTTCACCAAGGGCTGCACACCCACACTCTGCACTAGGACCATGGAGATGCAAAGGTCCCTTTGCAGGGTAGGCATGAATGTCGGGGCCACATTTGTGGAGTCCTGGTCTCAGTGTCTGGCACATCCCTTCTCCTCATGCCTAGGTGGGGATGCTCTGTACATGTAACCAAGGTGAGCAGGCTCAGAAGTCGATCACTGTACCCTCCTGCTAGCACCTTCACAGCCAGCCCACCCTGGATACCATGAAAATGACTGTGGTGACAGTGCTTACTCATGTGGCACTGTACAGCACTCGCCGTGTCAGTCAAGTCCAGGGCTTCACACTCATTATCTCACTGACTCCACAGACATCCTAGAAGGGGCTGCCAGAATCAATTGGGCTGCACTGAGAGTGTGAGTCGGGTTATACATCCAGCCCAGGACAGGGGACTCCGAGTGTCCTTGACCAATCACTGCACTACCCTCCTGCTCCTGAGGACAGCAGTGTCCTTGCTGTATGGGTTATGTTCCCCAAAAAGATTCAGTGAAGTCCTAACCCCCACACTTCTGAAGATGGTCTTACTTGGACACAGAGTTTTTTGCAAATGTAGTCAAGATGAGGTCTTTAGAGTGGACCTTAATCTAATAGGAGTGGTGTCCTTATGAAAGGGGCAGATTTGGACTCAGAGACACACATGAAGAAGGCAGGGGTCAGGATGATGCTTCTGCAAGCCAAGGAACACCAACAACTGCCAGCAAATCATCAGAATCCAGGAGAGAAGCCTGGAACGGATTCTCCCTCGCCACCTTCAGAAGGATCCAACCTGGCCAGAGCTTGAGCTCAGACTTGCAGCCTCCAGAACTGGGAGACAGTACATTTCTGTTGCTTTGGTTGGTACTGTTATGTTAGTCCTAGCAAAGTAACATAATCTCTATGCCCTTTCTATGACAGTTCCCAAAGCAAATCCCTGTTCCTTCTGAAATGCTGCAGACATCCCATCCCATCAGATGGACCTAAACCTTTCTTTGTGTTCTATGGTCCTGACTAGGGCACTTTGGATAATGTCTGGAGAAGCTTTGGCTTGTCACAGTGAAAAGCTGCTATTGGTGCCTGAGAGTCAGTTCAGGACAGTCCCCAGCACAAAGAATGACCTGGTCTAAACCTTAGTAGTGCCCAGATTTACATGGATCCTCTCTTAAAGGAGAAATGCTCTGTGCCTGTGTACTCACATACATGCAATTTACACACACAGGCCATTCTGTGTCTACCTCCAAGGGCACATAGGGTCCCAACGCCCTTCCATGCACTCTAGGCTAAGAGCCCTGCTCCTTTATAGACAAGGAATGATGTTCATATAGTTAACATATAGTTAATATGGTTAACAAGATTTTTACCATAATAGAAAAGAGATACAACTGTAAGATAAAATAAGAAAGGTTTAAAACCCCATAATCATAAATTTGCTTTGGGAATAACAATAGGAACTCTTTTTCAAAAAGAAAGTGAATATCACCTAGATCCAGCCACTTATATGCCCCCTAAATACAACATTGTCCTAGAAGCAAGAGAATCAGAAATTGTGCCTCTTGATAAGATTCAACTGGATGTATGTAAACCACTTCTGAAAGATTATAGTCAAACACCACATGACAATGTTATAGTTGGTGACAGGCCAAATATGCGACAGTGGTCCCATAAGATTACAATGGAGTTGATAAAGTCCTATTGTCCAGTGATGGCGTAGCTGTCATAACAAGTAGTGCAATACACTGATGCTGGTGTGAACAAAACTACTGTACTGCTGAGTGTATAAAAGCCTAGTGTATGAAACTGGTCACATTATATACTTGATAGTGACAATAAATGACCATGTTACTGCTTATGTACTTACTATACTATACTCCTTATCATAATTTTTAGTGTATTCTTATTTATCAAAAAAGCTACTGCTAATCAGTGTGCCACATAACAGCATCTGTCCATGTTCACTGTGTCCCTTGATTGTACCAGGAGGCTACATTGAGTGACTGACCTATACCATCGAATTTGTGTAGTTCATGCCATGAGGTTCAGATAACCATGGAATCACCTAGCAACTGAGCAACGAAGATCTCAGAAAATATCCCCAGCACTAGTCAATACATGGCTGTATTTCATACAAACTAAACCCAAGTCAGATCGAGCTTCAGGGTCTAACTCTAAGTTTACAGTGAATGCAGAGGATAGGCAAATGGGATAAATAAGAACATGGAGATGCAATCCACAATCAGCCCAATTCAGAATAAGGGAAGCTCCAAGGACCAGTGACCTGTTTTGTCGCCACTAAATAAACAGCCTTTAAAAAAGCAGAGGGGAGGAGAAAAATGTT